AGTTTGGGCTGATTGTAAAATAATCTTCAAAGAAAATTTGAGATTCCCATTAAAGAAGCTTTGACATCTAGAATTATTTATAATTTCCTAAAAAAACTCGTTAGCAACAGAAAACTGTTTGGACCTCATTCTCCCACTATTTTTTGGAAAAGAAGAAAGATATGATAACAGAGCACAAAGGTTGAATTGAGAGAAAGAAGAAAAATACCTGATTTCTCTCTGCAGGACGACTAAATTTCGCAACGGACGATGCAAAAAAAAGTGTGAAATGTTTGAGCTCCCCATTGAGTAGGGGGGAGAGCCCTCACCTTTTTTCCGGTGCCCGCGTCTCTTGCGAAGTGTGTATTATCAAGAAATAGTGGTCCGAGTATGAGAATCTAGAGTTTGGTCGCAACTTTTTTTTGCATGTGACGGAAGGTCTACCGATTCACCAAAAAAACCTTGGAACGTCCTTTATAGACAGACGAATAAAAAAAGTAGGGACTACTAATCAAATACATAGAGAAGAAAATCGAGGAAAAAAAAGAACAATACAACAAGAGGAAAGAAAGAGGAGAGAAGGAAGAAATAGGAGAAAGACAATGAGATTGTTGCCGGGAATCGTTTTAACTCAATCCCAAGTCTTCCACACTCTTTTCAAAATGTGCCAACTTCTACGGACTTCTCGGCGAAAATTGCATTAAATTATGTGCTAAAATTCGAACCAGATTTCCAGAAAAACTTACACGTCGTCGTCTCCGTTTCTTTTATTCTCTTGCACACACTTTTTCTACCTACTCTACTGGATGAAGATACATTTTTCTTCCATGCTCCAACAAGTTTTAGTCTCTTGAATCGTTCGAATTTTTTTTCAATTTTTCTTTCGGTTTCATTTCACAATATTTATTTTGCAAAATGTGAGTTTTAATGGTGTGGTTTTTTTACTTTTAGGATAAAATTCAAAAGGTAACTTACAGAGACTTGTAAAGAAGACGTGAAAGCAACCAAGACGCCAGCTTGAAAGACGAATGCTGAAAAATTTCTTGTTGTTTTGTAATAATAAAAGATGAACGGTTTGTTTGGAATTTGAGAAAATATTGAAATCTATTGAATTAAATCCAATAACCATTAAAGCTTTAATAAATCATCAGTGATAAAAATAAAAATTAGTGTCAATAATGAGGGAAATATGATATTGTTTATTTTTCTTAATTAAAAGTTTCTAATAATTAATATCAATACTTTATTTTTACATTGTTAATTTAAATAATACAAGAAACTTGTTTTTTCTTGTTTGTGTAGTTTGTCGTTAAACAATTTTTTAGTTTTTTTCAGGAATGAACTTTATAAGAAAGACTTACTCTAATAAAACGGTTTTCATAGAATGACATTATAAAGTTTTTTTTGTGAAATTTCATTCTATCAAATAGGTTTTTAATAATTTGAAATGTTTCTTCAGGATTATTTTACCAATATTGGACTGAAAACTGAGCATGTCATCAAAAATATTCGTTTAGAATTTTTATGGTATTTTGATTTTCAATTTTGGTTAATTTCTCATAAATTGAAAAATTGAAGAATTGGCTGTGACAACGTTTGTAGGGTCAAAATTTCAAACCATGGGACCACTCTTGCTTGACTTGAAAACGGGTTGCCGAGGATACTTCAACGCCTAACTGAACTTTTAAGAAAAAATATCTAGGTAAGAAAAAATATCTAGTACATGATTTCAAATTCTGATGCTTATTTTTAGAAAAAAAGCGAACAAAAAAGTAAAGAAAAACTATCGTGATTGTGTCGCCCACGTCAACTTATCCGTCAACACACGAGAAGCCGGGACTCAATACGCCATTCTTCATTTTGTGAAACATATGCAAAAATGGGGTGGTAGAAAAAGGAAAAAGATTCACTTTACTCATCGAGATCTGACGTACTTTTACATACTCTCTCTCATTCACACATGGTCCTTGAAACAACAATAAGGAAGGAAAAGGGTAGAGAACGGATCATAAAAGGCAGCAGTTTTAAATTTTTTTTCGTGTTCTTCCGTTGCTTCAATGGTAAAATATTATTGTTTTGGTTTCAAAAAATGGATGCGCCGCATTTTTTTGTCAAAGCTAGAACAAAAGTTAAAAATTCAGGGAAGAAGAAAAAGCGAGTTCGTTCTTCCCAGTTGAGATTCTGTTTTTTTTTCTGGAAAAGAGTTAAGCCATAAAAATTTTTGTTTTTAGTACTAACTTACAAAAACCACGTTTCAGAAGCTTCTCCATTAGAAAAAATCTGAATTAAGTTTTTAAGTGAAAAAATGGACTACCTGGTCGTATAATAGCGGTCCAATATTTATTAGTAATTTACAGCTTTCCAATGGAAATTTGTCATTTGAGAGGAGCGCGCTGTTATCTTCTTCTTTTTTCTACTTCTCTCATTACTTTTTTTCTCAACATTAGTTTTCAGAATTAATCAAAAATTCAGATCATCATCTATTCTGGCGCATCGAAAATTTTAAAATGCACGCAATTGGTGCCTATCATTTTTAAGAGTATGTTTATTATGATTATTGTGTGCTCTTCTTATTACTACCATTATTGTTATGTGCATATTGTTTGGTGGGAAAATATTCGGGAAAAACCGACAGACAAAATGAGAATGTGGGATAAGACATTGGAAAAAATGGAACCGCGTAAAAACACAGAATTTGAACGTGAGAAAATGAGAAAAATGGAACAGGGCCAAAATTAGGATTATGATGGGACCCTCCCAATAGCGGAAAAGGGAATAAAAATCAAAAATGCTTTTCTAGCATTCACGACCAGCAAGGACACCTTTGAAACCAAAATTGAGGACGACACCATTGTGGAAGACGTGCAGACCACGATACAACAACATTTCATTACATTTGGATCGGTGACGCGGAATCAAGTTCCTCTCTGGACCCTCTTCTTTTTGAGGCTTCTTGATGGGACGGGCCCTCCCTGGTGTCGGAACGACTTGGGACACTTGTTTTGAACTGATTTCAAATTTCACACTTCATCATGTACTTTGGGCGTCTATACTCCAAAGAAAAAGCTACTAGTAGTACAAATTTGGAAATGAAAAAGAAATAATAGTGAACAGGGTCTGTTCCATGTGAAAAACGACCACTCAATTACATCATAATTATCTGGAAGCTGTCATTCCCAAATTTTAGGAAATGCGAAAAACAAAGAGAAAGAATTTTTCGAAAAGAAAACAAAACCCCTGGTTTGGTCTGGGAACGGCTTTAATATTATTGAAATTCTCCCGCTATATCAGTTTAATAAGAATTCAAGATAAAAGGCATCGCCAAGGCTGGAACAATGTCAACCGTATTACCAATACATGCAATCTGAGAAAAAAAATTATAGACTCTAGCAAGATTAAATTCAAGTGGACTGGAGACCTCTACAAATTTGTAAACCAAATAAAGCTTAAAATGCCGTTTTTCTAGATATTAATCACTGGAAAGCACTCCCAGGAAAACAATGCACCGATTAATTAATTTTGGTTCGAAAGACATCCTCTTTCCGCTTTTTTCCGTTCTACTCTATCTTTGGAACAAATCAAAAACGTGACTGAAGGCTAAAAAGGAAGAGGATGAATGTATTTAGAATTAATATGATTTTCGCGCCATACCACACAAAGAGTGGGAAGTGAAGGATTGACGCCTTCCCCAACAAGTTGGGAGGAGAGATTAAGAGCGTAGGTACATTTAATGAGTATGCGTTTCTAATCAGATACTAAATTGAATATTCATAGACTCGGAGCAAAAGTGTTGCATCAACAAAAAAAAAGGATGAAACTTTTCTTCAGAGAAGAGTGAATCGCAGTAGTCAACGATGATGAGTTAAGAAGTTTTGGGTGGGTCGGTCTTAGCATAATGTTTTTGAGAAGGAAGCGCGGAGCCCACGACTCCGCCAGAGACGTCTCAAAAGTGTGACTATTGCCGACAAAAAGAATAAGTGATCAGTTTTGGTAAGCCTCCTTTGGTTTCTTTCGTTTCAGGACGACAGCACATATTTTTCTAGCCGCATAGGGACGGAGGGACAAATAAGGGAGGTGTGCCGTCTGTGAGAAAATCTTAAAAATGAAGATAAAAGGTGTCAGGTTAAATGTTTTTCGGACTTCAGATTGTTCCAATTTAGAAAATTTTGAAATTTCTGAATGTTTTGATTTTGATAATTTTGGAGATTCTGGAAATTGGAAAATTTTTTGAAATAAAAATTCCACTACCTGATAAGAAAAGCACAAAAATTGATTTAAAATTGACAGACAGATATAAAAACGCAAAACATTAGAAATATACCCGCTCGAGACCAGCTAGCTTTTCTTTTCTCGTACGTTTTAGACACAACGCAATCCAAATAGTTCTTACTCCAAAAAGAATCTGGAAATAATCCGGCGCGGAAAATGGTCAGAATTTTCGAAATTCTGAATTCCGTTCCGAACGTTTCTGGTCTCACCTTTTTTAACATAAATAATTGTTGACTTTAAGAATTCCACTCACCTGATGAATAGACCAGTTGAGCTGATGTTTTCCGTTTCTTTGAGAATTCCTAGATTAAAAAAAATTGTCAGTACATATGTAAAATATTTTTTATCACAACAATTTCACGAACACATAACTTTCTCTGAACTTCTACGTTTTAGACTTTCGTATAAATATTTCTATATTCATAAAGAGAAAAAAACAGGATACGCGGGACCACTGGAGTCTCGAAGAAAGTACACGCCCTCCTGTCTTCAGAAAAATGGACCTCCATAATATATTAACGTCATCCTAACAACAAAAGAGAAAGCCTCGAAATTGGAGATGGTGCCTAAACCATCGACCAGACCAATAGTTTACAACTCATCCTCTTTTTATACTATAGTGACACACAAGTGTTTCTGATATGAGAGTTTTTTGGCAAAGAACTCAAACTCAAGCAAAAATAAGTACGACAATGAAAAAGTTTATTGGTGCATAGAAGTGAGTATAATGTGTGTTTTTAGTGTGTGGTGGATCATTCCGACGATGAACTCTCTTCGGGTTCCTCATGTAATCTCGGTGTTATAATCGCATGCGACTTCCTTCTCAAATAAGCAACAGCTTCCACAAATTCCTCGGGTCGTTGATGGAACTCAGAACCAGACCTGCAAAAACTCGCATCCATCATTTTGCCTTTTTTCCACTGACTATACAATTCTAACCCTTCTAACCCTGCCCGAGAAAATAACCAATTTTTTTCGCTTCCCCTCGTAATCTTTTAACCCGCCACTGGTTCCTTTTTTCTCCAATAATCCATTGCGTTTTCCAAAATGTACTTACACACGTACAGTGGGTCATAAAAAATAAGCTATCTTTCTTTTCCCCTATGTACCAACCTTTTTCTGGGCTCCATTCCAAAATTGATGGCTCTCGGCTGACGTAGTCGAAGCGAAGAGCGGGGCTCAAACGGAGGCGGTGGAATTACTTCTTTTGGTGACGAAATGATCTCCGGGAGTACTGTATTCGTTTCGAGAGTTGTTCCACGAGCAACTTCTAGTGGGGGTGTTAAAATATCGATGACATTTGTCGATATGTGACGGAGATTATTCTGTAGAACGTTAGATGGGATTGCTCCGCAATTACTGTTCTTCTTCTCCGTTTTGATCACCTCTTCTGTGTGCTCCAGCGCTTTTCGGAGCTAAAAATCAAAATTTGACAGAGAACTACACCAACAACCAACGTCAGACAACGCCACTACACCAATCAGCCTACCACAATCCGTTACATATGCTTTGCTCAATTGGAGCATTGAGAAGATTGAGTGAATTTTGTAGAGGGACGTTTGCTTGACAAGTTGGATGGGTGCAGGATCTATGTCATTTTCAGTCAAATCTAACTTCATTGCAAGCTGTTCCTCCTCCCATGCTTTTCTCTGAAAAAATATTCGGCTTTGGATTAATATACACCTCACTGAAAATATCTTTTTTAAAATAGAAAATTATGAATTGGAGGCTAGTTACAAAATGATTATAAAAGGTCAAAACTGAATTTTTCTGTTTTCATCGAAAAACTACCGTGTCTCGAGTAACAGTAAAAATAGAATGCTGAAATTTGCCCCGCTCGACATGTCAAGCTTTTGAATTGTAAGCTGAATTATAAGAATTGTAAGCTTTTGAATGAGAATACTCAAGACTGAAATTAACACATTTTTTTGAATTCCTGAAGTTTGTCGCTCTCCGAAAACGTCACAACTAACACAGAATTGAGATTTGTCACCTTAATACCGTTTATCGCGCTTTTTTGGTTTTTTTAAATTCACTTCAAGATAAACTAGTTTTTTAGAAGTTAATTAAAGTTACTGTTTCAGTATGATTAGAATTTGTCAGACAAATTCTGGACTACTTTTTCAGATCTTCAAAGTTGAATATCATCAACAGAAAAATTCAAAGTGTGATATCTCTTTGTCTGTTATTGTATAATGGAGAACCCGTGAACTCGCCTCTTCTGGTGTCAAATCGTATGGATTACTCTCCTGTGATCCTTTCTTATGATTTCCGAACTGCATATGATTCAAATACTTTTTCGCCTGTCTCATATAACCTACAACTTTTTTTTAAACTACTGAAGTTCCTTGAAAACTTACTTTTGATGATTGTGTGGTGTTCGTTGGCGTTTCCATGAATTGTCTTGTGCTCGATACCATGATCATCCAAAAAATCTGTTGTATAAATAAAATAGCGTGATAAAAAAATCTTGACCAACCTTTGGCAGATTTCTCATCCATATCTTGTAAACTGAACAACGCATTTCTCCTTGATCCCGAGTTACGGCGCTTCAATGTATTCTCAATTGGCACAGATGGGGAAGACGGAATAGGTGGAAAGAACAATTTGGGTTCACTGACGTCAGGAAGAGGTACAACTAGGAATCGACTGAAATTTGTATGTAGAAAATTATGAAGTCGATCAAAATTTGAACTCACTTTTTCTGTTCCCCAGGTCTAGTCGGTGTTTCTAAGGATTTCGCTAATGGAGTTACAATATCTGACTTTTTCCTCTGCATAGAAACGAAATCAGTTTCCGAACAAATTCGTCTCCTATCTTCTGATAACTCTTTTTCAGAATCTTTGAAATGATTATCAATGGTTTCAATTGCTTGTCTAACTCGCTTCTCCGCTTCAATTTTTCTCGGGGTGTCGCCGATTTTCCCGTTTAGCAAAATTGTCAGATATCTTCGTGAAACGGTTCCTATTAACATTTGGGAATCTGAAACAGAGCTTGTTTTTGTTTTTCATTTCATGTTACAAACGTTTAGAGTCAACAACAGGGAAAAGACGAAGACCGGTTTGCACCGCTTCACGAATCTCATTGTATGTTGTTATTTTGGTGATAAACTTCACCGGCGTCACCATAATGTGTTCTGCATAAGTTGTATGAACTCTGCAAAAATTTTATGATAAACTTCAATGGCAGTGAAGTACTTACAGATTATTGGATGGAGGAATGTCCGGTAGGAATGGTAAGTGTTTGATTTTGATAATGGTATCGAAGAAAGAGGGTTGAAGATAAGCACAAACAGCGTTGGACAACATAACAGATATCTGTAGGCATTAGTTTCGATTACATTCAAAATGATTGTATAATATGTATACCATGACTGGCAAGATGAAATGAAGTTGACCGGTAATTTCAAAAATCATCACAGACACCGACACCGTATGAGTGACAGATGCAGAAAAGGATGCCGCACCGACAACGGCGTAGATTCCAGGTCTTATAGCATGAATGTCTTCCAGAATCAGCCCAATTGTCTGAAAACTCTAAATTTCTAAATTTTCAACAACAATTTCCTACCTCTCCATATAATCTTCCGATAGCGGCACCTAAAACAAAAACTGGAAGAAAAACTCCTGTTGGAACTGGAAGTGTGAAACTGATGATAGAAAACACGAACTAAAAAAATAGCTGACTCATTGCTAATCACAACAAACTCACGTGAACTATAACGAACAAAAAAAGAAGCAACAAAATATTTCCTCGATTCAACCAATGCGAATAGATTTCTGCTCCACAAACTAGATCATCTGTTGTTTTTGCCATAAACGAACAGTTTGCAAAGAAATCACGTAGGTTCGCTCCGAATTTTATCTGAAACGTCATATTCGTGGTGGGAGCCAAGAACAACACAATACCCTTCCGGTGGAAAACATTCCGAGACCATGTGGATATGAAAGAAGCGAGAAGGCGCATGAAATCACAATCGGGTATACTATCCAGCTGAAAAAAAACATTTATAGCTGTTTTCCATTTCTAACAAAAGAAGCTTACTGTCTCTGGAAAATTATTTTTGCATATCGGTTGTTTCTTAAAAACAAGACAACACTTCTGTAAATGGAAATGTAACCAGCACCTAAAATGCCACATAGTAAGCCGAGCAATGCAAACAGTGGAAGCTCGTTGACGGAAAATGCATCCGGGCGGAAGCTGGTTTGATAGAATGCACTTACAGTAACTGGAACATGGGAAATATTCAAAATCGTGCCGATCCAGCTCACCTTCCGTTTCTACTACATAAGCTCTCAATAATCGAATAGTTGTCGCTCCACAACACGCTGCGAAAAAACCCCTCCAATAGCTCCGTACAGAAAAATACATCGTTGTGACTTCAATCGAGAACAATACTCCTCCAACTGGCGAGCTGAAAGTGCACGCGACGCCGACTGCACATGCAGCAGCTAGACATTCCATTCTTCTGCTCTCCTCACGATACGCAGAATCGAATTTCGCTGCTAGTAGGCACATTTGGTTGGCAACCACTGAGGCGATATGCACGAACGGTCCCATTTTACCGATTGGGACACCACTGCCAAGCGCCATCGCCACTCCGAAAATTTTGGAGACAAGTGTCCGGAGAGTTAGGTAATCTACCAAAATCACTCCTCGAATAATTGTTTTCATTTCTGGTATTCCCGATCCTAAAAAACAAATTTCAAGGATTTTCAGTATCATTCAATAAGAAATGCAAGAACGTATTTTTCAGTTGATTCTTGGCCATTTTGACCATTTTCAGGAGAATGGAGCCCGTATGTCAAATTTCCGATCACTTTGAAAAAAAAAATCAAAAATTCACGTTTTTAGTACAAATGGCCCGAAACAAAAATGTCTTTTCGAAATCGTCAAATATCCGTAAAACGAGGCACTTTTAAGAAATTCTGTGCATGCAAAGTTTTTATCTATGTTTTAAACCCTCCAATCTTTTCAGAGATATTAAAAACAGTCGAGCTCTAGACTCCTGAAAATGGTTAAAATGGCCGAAAACCATTAATACGGTTTTGTATATCTTATTGAGCGGCACTGTATGTGATATGTATACCAATTGCTTGTGGAGCCACATAATGAACGAAACACGCTGAAGCTGCAACTAATCCAATCATATAACCACACCACCCAAGCAATCCACATCCCCATAACCAAAACGATTGATCTGCTCCGTATATATTATAAATGGAGACAGTCCTTCTCTGCAATTCTTGGAACGAAAACACCATCATATCCACCAGAATCGAAATGAATGCCACTGCTATTCCAAGTAGGGCAAGAAACATCCAATCCGATAACAAATATGACAACGATATCAGTTTCATTTCTAAAAATGTGATTCTTTGAATAGCGATTTGAGTTTTTTAGAAATTATTACTGATTTGATTCAATTCCATCCGTAGCCATCGAGACCTATTCTTACGAAACTTTGGAAATTCGAAATCGTTTTCATTCAAAGTGAAAGTGACTTTTCGACCCGAATGATTTGATCCGTTTTCTGGCGGATGCAATCCATTCTGAAAAAAAACGTATACGAAAGAAACTGTGTGAGTCATTTCTCACTTTCACAGGTTCTTGCTGCTTGACATCGATAATCATCTCTTTCAAACTTCGGTATTGTTTATTGTTGAAACTGGTTGTTCTCACAAGGGCACTTCCTGAAAAGATAAGGATCAAATCGAACGTGTTCATAATAACCTTCACTTACTGGAGGACGGTTTTCGATATGGCGTCAGGAATGTGAAATTGTCGTCAGAAGAATCCTCGTCGTCGGCTTGCAGTTCGTCTACAGGCCCTAGATTCTCCTGCTCAAAATCACTTATTGCGAACGAAGTCTTCTTTTTCAGATGGTTCGGCGCACCGTTCATACGAAACCACCAAACAGCAGACAATAAGGGTTAGCGGGAGGAAGGATGAGAGTTTCGAATACTGTTTTTACCCAAAATTGAAGAAGAGAGAAAACGGTTGTCCGCTTTCCATCGACAAGTCAAGTGTTTCAACTGTTTTTTCAATGAGGTGTTAACCATGGGTTGGATTATGTAAAACATTTCGGAGACAGTGTCGACGCG